TGGGGGGGGGTACCGCGGTGGTTTAAGTTAATAGGTAAAAACACTGCCACTAAGATCTCCAGGACCGGTTCCGTGCGGAAAGAGACAAAGTGAGACGCCAGATGGAAGGAATAGTGTATTCTGTACAGAAGAAGTGGAGAATAGGCTGGCGGAATTCGACAGTCGGACTAGCGTGCGGCTGCGCCCGAAAGGGGCATCGATCGAAGTGTTGGTGTATGCGCACTTGCTAGCAGCTGCACATGTCTCCGACTTTCCTACGATTACCTATGATTAGGGATTCTCGACAGAATCCGAAACGTCACGAAAATAAAACTCTTGTTTTAGTGATCATATCTTCTTTTTCTGAACTGCTTCCTGGAACTCGCGTATTCGCCCCCTATTGGCAAGGGGTTGAGTGATGGTGCAGTTTGCGGCACCTTTGATTGGCTGTCCCAGAGGCGAGCCGAGAACTGCAATCACGTGACCCCATGCGTGGCGTAACGATGGGGATGGAAGGCGCTACAAGTGTACCGATTCCCAAATTCTAACTGCAACGTTAAAATTTCGAATCGCTTGGAATTTAGCGCAAGGCTCCCTGTAATTCGTGTGTGGCCACATATTCTCGTGCTCTGTCGAGAGTTCTAATTTCAGGTGGATTCGTTTATACATGTTCTGGCACATCCATTTGTCAATGAACGATACTGCACTTTCTCCCTGTGCATGAAAAGCAATTGAGTTGAGCTTCCTATAACTTCAACCACGTTACTTCCCCGTTGCCTACAGCAAATTCCAATTCACCGCAAAAGAGCAAACATATTCGGCCACCCTCGAAGAGTATGGTGAAGCGGTGTTTTAGGTTTGATAAAAAGGAAAGTTTAAAGCCAAGCAATCCATGTATGCTAATTCCTTCGATGTCCGAGGGAGGAGGGAAGAGGGAATTTATGCCTCAAAGCTCAGAATTTTGCAGTGATTTCACTTGAACACGACCATTTTAGGCTTACGGTTAGGTGGCATGCGTTTTAAAATATCCTCCACGCACATTTTGGACGCCCTCAGAGGCATAACTTTTTGTTCCTATCGCGGCGCATTCCCCTGCTCTTCGTGGGTGGGACCAAACACTTTTTGAGCACCGAGTTGACTTAAGTTCCGCTGAAGTGTGTTGTAACGCGCGGTTCTGTGCGTCCTGGCACGCGCGGCATTCTATGTCAGACTGTCGACCCGCTTAGCGATGAGACCTTTTTGCCTTTGAACCTGTGTAGATGGAGCGTCACTTATGCACCGAAAATTGGTGAAAGCTTGCATTTTCTGTGCATTATGCAGCAGAGCTTGTTCGTGCTATAAATAATACTAGTAAATCGGAGAGATCAGTAACCAGGCAATAGGCCTGA